CTGAAATACTAATAAAAAAAAAAATTAAAAAAAAAAAAAAAAGGCAAGCTTAGACAAAACCAGGAAATGTCCTCAATATCCTGGGCCACTTCCTATTGTCACAGAGCCATTATTTTCAAGTCCTTTAAAGATAAGTCACCGGTTAAGAAATTTGTTTTCTAAATGTTCATTCCTTGCCCTTTTATCATGCTGTAGGATAACTGCGTCACCCAATACTAGACATTAATTTTGACACCTAAACTACGAGGCTAGTGAAGAAAGCAAGGCTCCTCCAGAGGGCAATTCAGGTTGCGGTTATATTACTTAGCTGTACCACATAGCATAACTGCACTTCCAGAACAAGAATTTAACTTAACTAATAGCCTGAAACTATTCTGAGCGTTTCTCTCCACTGGCTTTACAGGAAGCCCAGGTTAAAACATCTGAAGGTCAGTGGCGTGACTATCCCACTCCAGTCGCATCTTCACAGGAGTTCAAGGAGAAGCTCCAAGTGCCCAAAGCCACGATGACATTCCAAGGAACAGTGCATAATGTCAGAGAACGGCACTAGTTTCTGTCTGTCAAGACAGACAGTTGACACTTGCCAAGAATAAAAGAAGCTCTGTCTTGGGTGTCAGAGCCAGAAAGATGAGTAATACTACACTGAAATACTGTAATGGCTACACTGTAACATATCCTGCTCCTTGGATTTAGCCCGTGTTAACAAGCAGTAAGCGTCTTGCTCTTGAACCACATCTTTTTGAGGCACCTTATATTTTTGAGACACAGAAGTGTCCAGTCTTCTGGCTTCTACACAGAACTTATATATATATATATATATACACGTACACACACACCACTTTAGCGGAAATCTTTCAGTTTCTTCAGCTATCAGCTATAAATCTGATATATATTTAGATATATCTTGGTATCTTGGCCAGCTTCCCTATTTCAGAAGTGCATTACTCTAGATACGTATTGACTTCATGTTCCAATTTATTTATCTTGTTAAGTTTCTAGTAAGATGACAAAACAACAGTTGAGAATGTAATGATCAACAGAATGCCTTTGGTAAAATTTTCTGGGGCTGTTCTGAGGGCTCTGGGACCATTAGACAGCTATTTACAGCCTGTATTTTATGTAACGCTACAAAAGAAGAAACAGTATTCTCAAAAAAGTAATCCTAAGGATTAAAGCTTGAATTTCTTACACCATGAAGAATTTCCATAAGCAGTCTGGAACTAAAATGAAACTTCTGAAACCTCAATTGAAATAAAACTCAAACATATGTTTCATTTTAGAAAAGTCAATCCTGAGATTTTACCTTTAAACTATGGTTACCCATGTTGGTATTTATACAGCTCTGTGGATGATTGAAAAAGAATCAACAACACATGGAGAGAAATAAAATTTTACTAGTAAGATTTGGAATTAATCCCCAGCCCTTAACCTGGAGGTTACAAGCTAACACACTGCCTGCAAAGAAAATAATTAACATCATGTAGGGCAAAAAGTGGCAACAGGCCTAGTCCCAGACTTGGAGCTAAAAAGACATTATGCAAATATTTGCAGAACTTAGGCACAGGTTTAGAAAAAAAAAAAAAAAAAAAAAAAGAGGGGGCATTTCAGGGAACCAAACAAAATTTGGACACACAGTTCAAATACCCTTCATGAAATATAAGCAGCATGTATAAAAAACATTTTCTGAAGTAGCTAATGTTCCTGGACTGTATCTGTCCTTCTGTATCAACAACACTACTCCATTTTTATGTCCAAAGGATACAAGGACGTGAAATCCATAGGAAAACTATGGTGCAAGATCCTGGCTATGTGAAAACAGTGGCAAAACTCATACTGACTTCTCTATGTACAGGATTCAATTTATTATGTAGAGCCATTTCTAACAGTATATCCCGAGACATCAGAATATTACACACCTAGACAATACCAACTGTCAGTCTTCCTGCTTGTGGATTCTCTGACAAGGTTTCCAATTATGTGATTACCAGTAGCTCAGAAATGCCTGGTTTACATGATTCAGCATGATCACAGCCCAAAGTGAGACAGTGTACTGGGTCTGGTTGGGATGGAGTTAATTTTCTGGGGCACATCACAAATGCCCCAGAAACTATATTTAGCAACCAGTTCTACGGAAAAGCCATCTATGCAGACTTGTTCTTAAAAATAAGACAGCGCACAATTTAAGAGTAGTCCTCTTTTCTTATATAAATATGCTTTCACAAAAAAACCTTTGACTGTGTATTTTTTAAACAATTGTTTTACTATTCACAACACGTAACTTAAACACCTGATAACTAATTACACTATTCACTACATGACTATGAATCAGTCGGGCAAAACAGATGATACATTTATAGGACAAATACTTGTGTCACAATGTGAAAACAGTTCTTACCATTTTCTCCAACGGAGGCCACTTTTGCTGTTACATTGACTAGTATGATATTGTGTTGTTTGGCCTCATCAGCCGACCCATGTCTAAACGCTTCAGCCCCTTTCAGCAGTAAAGAAGCAAAATACTTAGCCATCACTAGTGGTCTTATAGCATCTGTTACCAGAGTTACAGAAAGACCCTAGAAAAGGCAGAAGAAAAAAAAAGTAGATTTTTTTTTGCCCTCCAGTTAGTAAAGCTTCGGTTTCCTTTGGTTGTAAAACATACATAAATATATATATACACACACACCCCCATACACAAAATATTTCACAATTATTATTCATCTTGACAGCCTATTAAATTTTACTCCAAACTGGCAGTTCAAATGAGTAGGGTATAACATAGAAACATTTAGGAAAAATATTTTATCATCATTTATGCTGTGATGACGTTAAGAAGCCTCTGTGAGGTTAAGAACCCCACTATATTAGGAAAACATGAGTACAACTGCCCTAATGGAAGACCCTAACGATCCTGCCTTGAAAAGCCTCCTGTTCATAGTAACAAAAGATTTAAATATGGGTGGGTGGGTGGAG